TCCTGCTGCATGGCGACAAGAAACGACGAGGATGTGGTCGCCGTGAAGAGGTTCACATTGATCCTGGGCGGGGGGGTGTCGTGAAATGATCAATTTGGGCTCGATAGACTTGATAGTCATTCGTTGGGGTTGCGCATAAAACCACGAATGCGCAAGAACACAAACACTCGCAACCACAGATGTGTTTCCATTCGCGCCTGATCGAGATAGAGACGTCGCTGAGTGCTTTCTCCACACAGATGTGTCCGGGCGGACAGTACATGAAGTCGCCCGTCTTCAGATACTCAGCACATAAGGAGGGTACTGCCCACTGGTCGGGGAGCTCTTTGAGGTCAGTGCTCGCCAATTGGTCCACCGCCGCTTTGATGCTCGATTCTCCGTAGAAGGCCAGGACCTCCACCAGCGCCAGCAAGATCAGCCGCCCTCCCGACAGCTGGACCCGGATGGTGCCAAGACCCTGGCTCTCCAGGCCACAGTAGGTCGTGTTCTGACGGTTGGCCACGATCCAAGTGCTCTTCAGCTGCTCCCTCGCGGTCTTGAACTCGCCATCATTGCCAACAATGGCATCCACCTCTGGCGAGTCGAGCATGATCTCCTGCGCATCGTCCGGCAGGAGCCATCGCATGGATTCCTGCACAGAAGACGTCACATCCGTCTGCTCCATGATGATCCTCATCGAACATAAAACACCTACCTCCACATTCAGAACCATATGCAATACGCAACCCCCTAAATGAAAGATGTAACTGTTCGGCACTAAGAGTTGGCCAACTGCGCCAAGTGGCACAGCCTTGTTGGAGGCGCTGCTGGTGAACTTGGTCCGGAACTGGTTCACCGTGCTCTCGAAGATGGCCTGTTGCTCCTCGTCCTTGAGCAGCACCTTCATGATGTTCCGGCCTTTCTTGATGACATAGCAGCGGGAAATGTCTGCCACGCCGTTGCACAGATCCGAGCCAGGGTCCTTGATCACCCTCATGGGGCGGGCGTTCAACACCTCCTTGAACTTATGCAAGATCTTTGGGTCCGTGTCGTCCACCGCCTTTGACAGGGCCGTCCTGCCTTTCAACACGTTCTTGATGCGATTGCTTGGCTCGCCGGTGCTGTTCTCCGCCTTTGCCTTCTTTTGTTTTCGAAGCTTGTCCACCGACTTTCGCATGCGGCGCATGTCGACCACAGCTCTCCTCAGCGCAGCCGCAACCTTCTGCACAGCCTTGATTCCCCTTGTGGTTCCATCCGCCAAGGACTGGGCCTGCTCCTGCAAAGTTGACACCAATCACAGAAGATAAAGCAAGCTAAAGCAAGTTTATTCATCATACATTCACAGAAGATAAAGCAAGCTTAATACCTTGCAAGCAAAATTAGTTTCGGCCACGAGAAAGGTGCACGGTCCTTGTTGCCACATGTGTCAAACAAGGCCACGGGATCGACCATGTGCGGCACTCGGTCGATGGATATGTCGCATGCGAGGTTCTCGGCGATGTACTCATCGAGGCACAGGATGTGTTGCAAAGCCTCCTGCACCTGACAGAAACCACAACGATGTAATATGTTCAATGTTAAAAGTAACTACCAGTAAGCATATGGCAGCATGCAAACAAAAACAAAACTCAATCACAATCACAATCCCGCATGTTTCAGTTTTGTCTTGAAACCCGACACGACGCGAGTGGCCTTCTCTTCATCTCCATCACGACTCAAATCTGCCGCGCAGTAGGTGCTGTTGCTGACGATGATGTCGATGAACTCCTTGCGGTCAGCGGCGTTGAGCAGCTCGCATGCCACCACCCGCGAGTGCACGTTGAACATGCATTTCATCATGCCGGCTTCGTCAGCATAGTCCTCGTCCATCGCCATGATGGTGACCTTGTCCGCGCCGTTCGCCGTGTAGCCTTCAGAGTGGTAAACTACAATGGACAATAATTCTTGGAAGTCGGAAGTAGCAGAAGGTGTATACAATATATGTGGCTTGCGCTTGCACTACTCCTGTTTCACACCACAGAAAAGAAAATGCACGACTTGCTTAGTTTTAGTTTCTAAGCCAACAAACATGAAGTGCAGAAGTGAAGGCCATCACAAATTGCTGACGGGGAACTTTCAAACCTGCCCACGAGGTCTTCTTCTTCTGCGCGCCAGTTGCCATAGTGCTGGGTCACCGCTTCGCTCAAAGCGGCTCTGGTAAATGTGAGCTGGTTGGCCATCTTCCCCACAAACCGGTTGCGAACCTGTGTGAGGTCGACCAGCTTGGCCTTTCCACCGCCGTTGCCGTTGCCGGCCTTCTTCCTCAACTTAGACCACCCCCGACAAAATATTAAGGCCACCGCGACAGGCGACAAAAAGAAAAATACAAAATTAACTAACATGATAGTTTAAATCGAACCATGTGTCTTGCTCCCCTTCTCGATGGCTGTTTTCCCAACCCCAAACAAACTCGGCATACACGGTGGTCTCGGCGTGGAAATTGAAGAGCTTCACCGTCGCCAGAAACTCCGAATCCACATCGTGGCATACCTGATGAGATGATGTGACGTGAACCCGTTCGGCGCACTGCACTGGTCGGAAATACGAAGCAACTGCACACGGTTTGTTGAAAAGTTAAAAGAACAAGGCTTGGGCTCAAGGCACAAATGAAGCCACCCGCAGCGATGCTTCTTGAATCTGGCCCTCGGTCGGGTCCTTGGAGCTCTTCTGCTTGCTCACCGTGCGGGACTGCATGTCCATCTCGAACTTCTTGCGCTGGCGCGCCGCCATCACCCACACGTGGTCGCGCTTCTCCATCTCACCGGAGCGGCGATTGTAGACCTCAGGGATCGATGCAACCAGCCAGCCAGTCAGTCAGTCAGTCAAAAAAAGACAAGCAAACAAACAAAACACAGTACAGTTCAGTACAACAAACAAACATTAAATACAATCTTCCAGAATTGCTAACATCCAGTCCATCCAGTCTCCAGTTTCCAGAAAATAATAATCATAATCAAAAGCAGCAGCAGCATCAGCACCAGCATCAGCACCAGCATCAACAGCAGCATCAGCAGTCATCAGCATCATCATCATCATCATCAGCATAATCATCATCATCATCATCATCATCATCATCATCAGCATCAGCATCAGCATCAGCATCAGCATCATCATCAGCCACAGTGTGCCCCGCCTCCGCCTTGAAGCTTTCCACCCCGTTGCATCCCTGCAGATCTCGCAGCCAGGCCCGCAGAGCATCTGCTTCCGACAGTTGGTCCTCAACTATTGCACGGCGTGACGGGGTGAGTGGATGCACTTGAAATGCAAAATCAAGTGGCTCGTGGGCGGCACCGGTTACAGTTTTGACACGCGTTGAAAAACAACACGAATACTTACCGACCATGACCAAGTTGGGCGGTCCTCGCCGCGCTTCGGATCCATGAAGTGGGCCTTGTAGGCAACCCAGTCGAGGGCTTCCCAAACGCCGCCAGTCTGCTGGACCTTGGCCGATGAGGTCTCCTCCTTGTACCTTGGGGTGTGCTCACGCCAGCTCAAAGCGAATCACACTACTTGTCTTATCTCCCAACATCAAGAGGCAATGAAAGTAAAGTACAACTCTGACAACTACTATCAAACCAAGTTGCACCAGGAGGTCAAACTTGGCGTGGGTGCCCCTCCTGCCGCACCCCTTCTCGGTGTGGTCTCGCATGATCGCCTGATATTCGCTCAGCGCAGTCCAGGGCAGCCTCACTTGCCCAAAGACCCAGAGTTAAAACCCCTTTGTGTCCTTTGGGCCGCGCCATCCGTAAAAATGGACCAGATAGGAAAAGGAAAAATTTGAACAATGTCGGCCTCCTCAACAACTGAGAAGCTGGTTGAACCAGCGCACCATGTTGCTGTCCCCCGTGGAGGCGATGATGCTGCGGTGGCGCCGCGAGCACCCCAAGCAGCGGCGCTTGAGGATGTGAGAGTTCGTCAACTCCAGGGGGTCGACGACGACGCTGCAGTTCATGCAGCAGCCCTCCGGCGGAGAGCCTGAAGCATGCGGATCCGAAAGCTCAAATTCAAAAAAGCAGCTGCCTCAAACCAAAAATACATTTGTGAAATAGTATAGTATCAGTACGAGTGGCCTAATTGACCTTGGGTACATGTGTCATCTGATATGTTCAAGGTCAAGCAACCGCTGGCGCCTGATCCACCACCCAGCTTCGCGCCCTTCTCATCGCCACCATCTCGCCCATGAGCATCATGTGCAGCGGCCAACATCGCGAGAGCTACTTCAGCGCAGTTGTGACCCAGTCGGTTGGTCGCAGTCACAGTTGAGGCATGTCGCTCAAATCATATGTTGCTCAACTCGTGAGTTGCGAACTGCTGAACGCCTGCAAGCGCCTGTCACATAAGTCGTGCACCCGATCAAGTGCGAGCCCAGCTAAACAGCCACGAGGGAAAACGATTGTTACTGTCTGCACGCACTGCCAAGGCTGTGACTGTGACATGACAGCACACTTGCCCTGGCTTTGACTGATGACCCACTTGTGATTTGGTGGCGTGGTGCAAGGTGAAGCTGGCACATGACCGAGACTGAGGGCTGGTGTTTTCAATCGCTCAACTTGGTCCGGCTCATGCGACAAGACTCATACCAGCATCGGACCACCTAACAGGTTTGCTAGCCCATCTGTAACTTGATGCAAACGTCGGTCCGCGTGACACCAGCCAGTTCCATCTAAACAGCTAGCACCACTGGCAGGGAATGCACAAAATTGAGTGCATATTGCGAGGTGGCACCAAACGCGAACTGGCAAAAACTAACTTCAACATTTGGAAGATGTATGAAGTCGCTTTCACTCTTGCTGCCAGTGCTGACAAATCATGGGACGCACACGCCGGCACCAAAGCAACCTGACATTAAAAGAAGATGCGCACCCAATTAGAACGTCTGGGCCTGTATCTGGGCCAACATGTGCCGTGTGACTCTGCCGGTGCCATGCCATGTGAACTCCTAATTACAGCAAGCGCCTCAAAGCGCCGGCTCCACTCACCGCTCAAATCCGCTGAAATGCTGAAGGCTCCAAGTTGGCCATGATGAACGAGGTGAAGGCGCACGCGCAGCACTGGTTGAAGCTGTTCCCTGCCATCCTTCGAATGGCCGACACGCTGACCTGGGCCCTCTCAAAGTTGATCGGGCACGCAGTGAACCCCGCCGCCTGCCACAGGTGATCGTAGACAGGGATGACCTGCCCCACCAACAGCTCCTGCGGCCAGTTCTGAGAATCATCAATCGAAAACATGAAATACACACAAATGCAAACTTACAAACAGTTCAAAGACATGAAGCAAAGGCCATATCCCCACTTTGGACTGCGGACGCGCCCCATCCGTCCTCAGGAACGTACAGCCGGTTGGCCTTGATCGCCCACCTCGCTAAGACCAAATCAGTGCGCGTATGATCATGGCCACTAGGGCACTACCATAAAACTGATTGACTTGGGAAGACCAGCACCGATAAAAAGATGAGAGCCAACGCAGACTCAAACTCAGAGACTTGATCGCAATGCCAAGGCGCATGTGAGAAATCGACGCCAAAATGACCGGCATGTGATCCCCATAGTGGGGTTGGAAGTGCGGATTCTGATCCAAGTTTGCTGCAACTTCTCGTGTGAAGTCCTCCTTTTGCACAATTTCTTGCACGGTCCGAAGGTTGGCAAGCGCTGCAGGCGGCAACAGGTATTCCCACTCCTCGACCGACCCGCGCATTGCCAGAGCTGCCATGTACCGCTTGAACTGCGCGACCTGGCAAGTCACGTGTGGGAATGTGTGCAGTGTGCCAGTGTGCCAACAAGCATTAACCCATGATGACTTTCATAGCACTCAACTCAATTGTTAAAGTTTATGACTCTTACAATTGTAGCTCCCCGAGCTCTCAATCATAATCCTGAACAATTTCCATACATCTTGTCACATCACTTTGTCACATCGGTCCTTCTCCTGCGGGGCCTGAATCTGTCCATCCCGTTCGGCAGAATGAGGTCAGACCGCACCACCACATCGTACGATCTGCTTCTCTTGACCGGAGCGCCAAACTGGGCACATTCCAAAATCTGGTGATAGTCCCGGTATCCGCTGAGGACCTTCTCGAAGACGCTATACGGGAAAAGCCGAGTACACTCGTGGATGAGGAGAGATGCTTTCAATCGTGAGGTCAGCGCCAGCATGCCCGCCGCAAGGATTCCGTAGTTGCCGCAAAACCCCTCTTGGCGCCCCATGCTGGACCAGTCCTGTGCATCAGGGTACACACTCCACCACACAGTCACATCGCCCCACAAACATAAAACCCAACCCATCTTCACACTCGAATCTCCCGAATCCTTGCAAACAGATCCGGCCATAATGACCAAAAGCTTGTTCTCATGCGCGTCGCTCATGAGCTCATCCAGGGCCACCTGCCAGGCGTTCTATCGTTTAATTAAAGATCTCGCAAAACGAACATATCCACCTGGCGTTCGTTAGATTCCGACCCGACCCAGATGTGAAATGACACCCGTCTGCCTGCTTGCCATCAATGACGTCAATATTGGCCCTGAAGCCTCCGTCACGCAGCATCTCGTTGAAGAGCGACACGAGCAAGGCCTCGCCGCAAACCGTGATGGCATCCTTGTGGGCGTTCAGCTTCTTCTTGAAGGATGCCAGCTGCACCTTGTTGTTCTTCGGAATGTCCCGCATCGTCCGCTTCAGTTTGACGATCTGGTCCAACCTGGTGTTTCTGGTCTTGCTGAAGCTCGAAATGATGTTTCGACATCGCCCCACACATGTGGGAGTCAGGAAGTCGAGCAGGTTCTCCACCATGAACTGCGGAGGATGGGAGTGTTGCCGCAGCACAGCTCTGCACTCATGATCCAGCTCGCACGCCAACAACATACCTGATGAGGAAACATCACAACACCTGCAAAAGAAAAAACAACCACGTTAACAAAGTCAAAGCGTGACACAACACACCATCATATCTCAAAAATATTGGAACAGGGCAAAGAAGCGTGGTGGGGTTGGGGGCGCAATGTTGCAAATCTGATAGCAGGCCAGGTAGTTCTGCTGCATCGCGAGCTCCGCCCCACCCAAGCCCGAAAAGAGACTGATGAGCACGGTGCGGCTAATGTTGTCTCTGTGGCGCACCAACGCATCGATCCCGAAGTGCTTATGGATCCTCCGCAAGGCACTCAGGTGATGCTGGAAGAGCTCCGTCGGGTGCATCATTATCACCAGCTTCATCTTGAGAAGGGGCAAGCTCCTGGTCAAACAGGTGGACATATTTTCACACACAACCATATTATCACAGACCATCTATAAATGCCACCCTGTTCAACATCTGACCTGAGAACAATTAGTGCATCAATGCAGAACAACAAGCAATGCTCCTCTTCCACGTAGTCACGCATTGTGATCGGCTGCGGCTCTTTGCTCGACGCATCCTGGCTTTCCAACACGTGACATTACAATCAACCCCATGTAAATGATTATATACTTACACACATGCAGCTGTGATGTTGCATATCAAAACAGAAAGGTCGCCACTCATCCTTGTCCCTTCACATTGAGAAAAGCTCAAATCTGATGCAAAACCACGCAGATAAAGACAGGTGCCAGAAGTTAGATAAGAATCATGCACACTCGTCACGGTGTCGTTGCTGGACGTGCTGGAACTGGACGATTTGCAATCGCTGCCGCTGTCAGACCCGGGATCCACCTCCATGTTGGCAGCGCTGCTGGGTGCCTTTGACTTGGACTTGGCCTTCGCCTTGGGGCGGTGTGCCGCAGACTTGGCCGTGGGTTTCGGCGCGACCCCCGCTGCTTTGGCCTTTGGTGATGCCTTGGCCTTGGTTCTCGCAGGCTTTGGGTTGCCACCCTTCATAGCAGGCAAAGGTTTCTTGTCCGTCTTCACCGTCTTCATGGCTTTCATCACAGTAGTGACCTTCATTTCTCTCTTGGCCTTCATGGCCTTCATAGCTTTCATCGCCTTCACTGCACTCGGGCCAGTACGACCGCGCGCCATTGCAATCGCTTGGAGCAAGGCCAGTATCTATGCAATCAACACGTGCCAAGCATTTGTCATGTCATTTGCGTGGCTGTGTGTGCAACCAGCATGCGCATGATGTGGCAATATAGCACCACCAGATCCCGGCTTCGAACCTTGAGCACGGTACGGTGTTCATTTGCAAGCCACACAAATGTTCCAGTCTGACTGAATGCATGCAGTGACGGCCTTTGTTTACACAGCGTGTGTTGGGATCGTCGAATGTCCACTCACATTGGAGCATGAATTGGTCTGACTTGACAATGGACAATCTGCCAAAGTGATTGTAGGATTCACCAATCACACAAGACGATGTTACATTCTCCAATATGATTAGAAAATTAGTTGATATGCTTTGAAAATTCGCCAATCTCCAATCTGATTAGAAAACTATCCGATCCAATTTGAGAATTATCCAATTTGATTAGGGAATTCTCCTATCTCCAATCTGATTGGGGAATTATCTAATCTCCCATCCCATCTCCAATCTAGTTGGAGAAATCGCCAATCTCCAATCTGATTGGAGAATTCTCCAATCTGATTGGAGAATTCGCCAATCTGATTGGTGAATTCTCCACTCTGATTGGAGAACTTTCCAATCTCCAATCTGATTGGAGAATTCTCCAATCTGATTGGACAATTCTCCAGATCCCCAATTTGATTAGAGAATCCTCCAAATCTCCAATCTGATTGGGGTCTCCAATCTGATTGGGGAATTCTCCAATCTGATTGGAGAATTCTCCAATCTGATTGGAGAATTCTCCAATCTGATTGGAGAATTCTCCAATCTCCAATCTGATTGGAGAATTCTCCAATCTGATTGGAGAATTCTCCAATCTCCAATCTGATTGGAGAATTCTCCAATCTCCAATCTGATTGGAGAATTCTCCAATTCTCCAATCAGATTGGAGAATTTTCCAATCACATATTTTCCGCCAAATTTCTCCATCAAAACGCTTGAATTCTCCAAAAAACTACTCAAAAACGCTTCTCATATCCTGAAGATTTCGGCAATTCTCCAACACCCCAATATGATTGCAGAATTCTCCAATCAGATTGGAGAATTCTCCAATCAGATTGGAGATTGGAGAATTCTCCAATCAGATTGGAGAATTCTCCAACCAGATCGGAGATTGGAGAATTCTCCAATCAGATTGGAGAATTCTCCAATCAGATTGGAGAATTCTCCAATCAGATTGGAGATTGGAGAATTCTCCAATCAGATTGGAGAATTCTCCAATCAGATTGGAGAATTCTCCAATCTCCGATCTGGTGGAAGTTTATCAATCACGGTGGAAAATTATCAATCTGTTGGAAGATTATCAATCTCCATATCCATCTCAATCACAATTTAGGATGATTTAGTAAAGTCTCAATCTGATGGGAAGAAGATTATCCAATCTGATTGGAAAACATCAAATCTCCATCCATCTGCAATCTAATTTGGGGACTATCAATCTCAATTGATTGTGGAATTCTGCTGTAATGGTGGAAGATTCTCCAATCTGATTGGAGAATTCTCCAATCCCCCATCCCATCTCCAACCTGGTTGGAGATATGTCCAATCTCCAATCTGATTGACGAATTCTCCAATCTGATTGGAGAATTCTCCAATCTGATTGGAGAAATCTCCAATCTGATTGGAGAATTCTCCTATCTCCCATCCCATCTTCAGTCTTTCGGGAGATATGTCCAATCTCCAATCTGATTGGCGAGTTCTCCAATCTGATTGGAAAATTCTCCAATCAGATTGGATAATTCTCCAATCAGATTGGAGGTTTATCAAAGCTGCTTGGAGAATTCTCCAATCTCTCATCCCATCTTCAATCTGGTTGGAGATATGTCCAATCTCCAATCTGATTGGATAATTCTCCAATCTCCCATCCAATCTTCAATCTGGTTGGAGACATGTTTAATTTTTAATTATCTATGTTGGGGCATTGTACATTGTGATTGGATAGTTATCTGGTCAGGCTGGATACATTCCCAGTGTGACTATCTGGTGGTATCTGGCATCTGGTGGAGAGAATTATTTAGGATGAAACTGAAACATGTTGAAACCAATGAAATCCCTCCAAGTCTCTCCAAGTCTCAACCTCACGTCTGAGAGCTGCTTTTTCTTGACGAGATATAAGGGCATCGTGTGGCAAGAAAACGTGTCTGGCATCACCAGCATCACCCGGGCGTGTCTGGGCGTAGGTTCATCGCATTTTTGGAGGGGGTTGAGAAAATACCCAGTGACATGGGGGGTTGTCCAAATTGGAAACCCCTTTTGGAATGTTTGGTTTTGGGCCCCTTGGAACAGTAAAGCCTCTATGGTTGTATTATTGTATCTTTTTTTCAGGGAGCTCCTATCTTGTTTGGTGGAGGGAAACCAAAGGAACACCTCATTGCATTTTTGGAGTATCATGCCTGTCGTTTGTCATCTGATTGGCAATGCACTGCACAAAGTCTACTTGCAACGAAAACCCAAATCCTGCCACACTTCAAAAGTGAATTCAGCTCTGGGGGGGGCATGTGATGTCCACGTCCAAACGACACCCAGCTCAGCTAATGCTGTTTCCTGCTAGCCACCTCTGTCGTGCTATCATCAGTATGCCACATGCCATGCAAATTTTGCATGGGTGCACCGGTGCAACTATGAGGGCGGTGCCACAAAAAACATAATCATAGGTGCTGGTCCAGCACTCCAGGTAGTTCTACGCGCTCAACTGGCGCCATTCGCATCAGCTCATCTTTCGATCTCAGGGTAGCCGATGCCGCCGGCATGTTCCGTCTAAGTATGTGCTCTTGTTTGGTGGCGTACTTGCCTGCATCCAAGCACCATTGAAGACACCTTCGTAACGCCGTCTCCTCGTCTGGTTGGTTGACCTGGACGGCCTTCTCGCAAGATACGTGCACTGGACAGAGCGCCACCCATGTCGGAATTCGCTCAGGATAAAGCAATGAGCGGTCGTCTCTATACTTAATCGCGAACATGCCATACTGGAAGGATTTCTCGTGCCATCCTCTGCGACGACCTTGAAACGCTCGTACCCCTGCTGGCGCTGCTGGAGAAGGCTCTGCCGCCGCCGGCTCTGCCACTGGTTCTGCTGGAGCCGCCGGCTCTGCTGGAGAAGGCTCTGCTGCCGCCGGCTCTGCCACTGGTTCTTCTGGAGAAGGCTCTGCAGCCGCTGCCACTGGTTCTGCTGGAGCCGTCGGCTCTGCTGGAGAAGGCCCTGCTGCCATTTCTATCACTGGGTCATCTGCATCTGGCTCTATCTCTTCCTCCATATCATCTTCCCCGCCGCAACCATCATCCCCTTCTGTGATCACCACATCTGCCGCAGGTTCTGCAGGGCACGACTCAAGCCAAAAACCAGCACACACACACAAAAAATGACAGGGCATGCCACCATGTTGAAAGGGCAAGCATTGTGCTGTAAATTGTCTATGTTCCAATTGAGTCTACTGCCATGACTGACACTCACGCGGAAAAGCAGGAAGCTGGCGCCATGATTGGATCACAACATGTGAGCGAGTTGAAGTTGAAGAGCCTGAGACTACTCATTCATGACGTTATAAACACACCTGACACTCGTTCGTGCTTCTGGCACGTTCATACGAGAAACACATTCAGGGCAAGAGGAGGCAAGGTCCAGGCGCCTATGTTGCTAACGTGCAGCCCAAGGGGTGCTCAGGCCGCCCTGCAACTCCTTAAAGTTGCTGCCAACTGCCAACAATCCTAGAAGCTTGTTGGGCATAAGCAAGTTTTCCTGGCTTGGGATCAGGGTTATGGGGTTCTGACCACCGAGTATCAATTACCCGGTCATTGACCGAAGCTTGCTCGATATAAAAGAACACGTGGGGACCTATGTTTGCCTGAATCTGTCTAATGACGCTAAACGCACAACAGCGCAGCGCTACAAGCACTGCTCGGTCAATCAGCCAACCCCAGTCCTTCGATCGCTGCGGCTAACAGCCCTTGACCTTCATCATACCAGCCCAGTGGCCTGTCGATGTCAGACTTGATCTTGCCCCGGCCGCCGGTGAGCCCCATCAAAGCTTTGTAGAGCGCCGCTGTCTTGCCCGGCTCCACTGAAGAAATCCTACGATGTAACTCGTTGGGCACTCAAATCTAAAAGACAGAAGGCATTTTGCCAAAACAGGCTGAAGCCGAAAGGATGCCCCAGCAAAAAGAAATAAAACAGGCTAGTGCAAATCTACCTCCGCTCGTGCAGCACCAATCAACAAATCCGCAAATATGATACTAATTCAAAAAGAAAGGATCTGGTCATCTGGAGCATGAAGGAGTGCTTTGTAGTAGGCTTCTGGTTGATGGTGATGAATGGAGCCGTGCCCTTCACCTTGCCGAGCAAAGATGACATCACACTGTGCCAGGGCGAGCAAGTACCAGCGGCTGCAAGACTCGTAGAAAGCCCTGTCACTGTCAGATCCTTAGTTAGCAGCCAGTTTGACAACGCAGCCAGTTAGTTATCAGCTAACCCGCCCGGCTCAACACCATGAAGCCAACAGCACAAGAGTCATTGAATCGAGCCGAGGTAATCTGCGGCACACTAGGTGGTGTGCAATGGCTGGCTGGTTGTACACTTGCTTGTTGTGCTGTGAAGGGTGTCAGGTATCAAGTCCAAATCTTCTGGGCTCAATGATCGCACACACACACAATATCAACACGCCAATGTAATTTGCATTCAGGCGGCCAGGTTGCAGGGGTGGCGCACGTCTTCTGCGTTTTTCAGCTTTCCTCTTCCTATACTCAAAGCCAGTCGCCTGCAGCTGAATCATGAGCTCAAATATGGTGGCGTCTTTCAACGCCACTCCCGACCTTCGTTGGAACACACTGAACGGGCATCCCAGAGCAAATTGGACTTTGATCAGCTCCAGCGGCTTGGAAGTCAGCTGCCACATGTCCTTCGACTTCTCGGCCGCCGACGACTTCTGGTTTTCCGAGACATGCGTCACCCATCCCATCTCAAAAAGGCAGACCAACGCTTCCTCTTCGGAACCATCCATGCCAATTGAGCAAAACGCTTTGGAGCTGCCGCTCACGGCCCTCAGGTCGATGAACTGCTGCAGGAGGTTTCGCTGGATTGGATCCGGCAGGGCGGTGTTCAGAGATCCTGCCAAAAAACAGGGAGAACCATGAGTAATGGATGATCCATGGATGGATGGATAGACAAATGGATGAATGGATCATGGCGAATCCGGTCCATTCGTTAAGCTTTATTACAAAACCAAATGGCGCGAAATCCAGCATTCGTGCTGCGCTGGAAAGCACGAAACCTTCTGGTTTACAATGATGCTGGCTTGATGTCCATCGCTTCATGTTGATAGTGGTGGCTCATCACTGTTGATGTCAACAATCCCATCACCTGATGTCAAAGATCCGCTTGTAATTTTGATTTATCTCACAGGGCTCGCTATTTACGCGATGTTGAAGCGCAAAACCAGGGCTTTTAGTCATCGCCAGGTTTGAGCGTTCTTTCAAAGATGAGGGTGTGCGATCCTGAAAAATGATAGGCCATCATCACGCACAGGTGAATGCTGATTGAGGATCTTCCATCCTGGATTCAGCATCGACTGGCGCCTGGGTCACCTGGTTGCCCGAGTCATCTTCCACAAGCGTCCAGCCCAAACCGGGGGTCATCATATCAGACAGGGCAGGTCGGACACTCGGCGTCACTTCCTTAAAATGCAATAAGATGAGCGGTTTCTTTGTCGACGAGCAGAGTCCTATGTTATTTTATTGAGGTTTCCATGCATGGACCGCTTCCAAAAAAAAGTCGACACTGGGAGTTTGGGTTTATGCCCAGGCGCATATTTGTCCCGGGCCTTTGTCTGGGCGCGCAGGGCTGACTGCAACGGATTTGTGATCTCGTCCACGGGGATTTGCTTAAACAAACCCATGGGCAGCGAATAAAATGCACCCGGCTCGCAAACTCTCCGGAAATGATCCAGCAACAGCCGGGTCATCTCAGGCAGTCTTGATCGCTGCTCAACGGCCAACAGCTGCCTGAGATCGTACCGGGAACACACACACACACACGAACTTGGCTGAGCTTGCGAAGTAGCTGAACAACCTAACAACCAAATCCAAACAAACAACTCAAATCCCACTCGCAGCACCAGTGATTGGGTATCAGCAACTACAAACTAAACTGAACTGAGACTGAGCTAAGCAAACTAGCAAACACTTGCATTCGCCATGATGCTTGTTTCGCCTCAACTTCTCAGCATCAGAAAAGGGGACCAGCGCGTTAGTCTGCTTGCCACGGCAAAATTTGAACTTTGTGTGATACAGAAGCTCCACAAGCTGGTTGTGCTTCAACTTGCTCGCCGGAACACAGCAGTCGCCTCCCACCAGCTTCGCCACCGCTAGGGACAAAGCTGCTTGGTTGGATAAGTCCTGGTTTCTGTCAACCAACCTTGCCAGAAGCGCCGGGCTATCAAAGATCCGGCGAAAGGCGGGCAGCCTAGATTCCGTCGAGATGTAGGCTGCAGAAGCATTTGGCGCACGGCTCATGATTTGGTGGATGGAGCGGTGCAGTCCCTAGCCAGAAAACACACATCATTGGAAATTTGCCTTGTACGCGCCCATGGCAGCCGCGGCGGCCACCATGGGCGCGACCAGCCCAAAATAGCAAGGGCAACAGGGGCCCATTTTTCAATGACTGTCTCCCTTGGTCTTACGCAACTCCAGTAGTCGTCAAAAAAGATGTAGCGGAAAAGTGAGCAAAATTAGGGAAATCATTGAACCCATATTTGTTGGCAAGTTGGAGTTGGAAACAAGAAATCACCTCATGATTACAAATGATTCAAAATTACAATAATATAACCGTGGGAAACGCAACACATGCTCATGGATTTGTTCCAGCACGGGCCTCGGTCGGCTGCTCGGTGGTCTTCACACATCTTAATGCTCCTATCCACATGCACAGCTCCGGTAGGTCTTGTCGCCTCGCACCACCCAGGAACCTCAGAAGCAACTGACTCTGGGTAAGTTGCGTGGTGACTTTAAACAAAGCCCTGCAGTCCAAACTTAGTCCAAATATGCTGCAACAAGAGCACGAGACATCATCATGGTTAAAATTTCAAGTCAACGGCAGAGGCGCTCGTCCAAACTTGGCCGGAGGGCCACATCACCTTCAGTTCCAACAAAGTGTGGATCCAGTAGCCGTTGGCTCATGCGATGCCCGACCCCGTAGAGCGTAGTCGGAACTGTTGACCCTGCTGCGGCTTCCCACTGAGCAACCGCGTCACGACCTGCCGCTCTGGCATCCTCCTCGTCCGGAAGGGCCAACGCGCACAAGCACCAAGGGAGCAGCTGCCAAAATGAGGTCTTTACCTTAGGCAGCAGGTGCGCATTAGAGAAATATGTTCTTGCGATTGGAGCTGCTGCCCTATGTGTATACATTTGAATGGGGTTTTAACAAATCAATGGGGAGCTAAGGTCCAGAGGATGCGTTTAAAGCTGTTTTACTGTTGTTTAACTTATTTCAGCATACCAAGCCAAGCGTCCTTCATTTCTGTGAGCAGCGTGTCCAGTGCAACAGTCCAATCTGTAGCCAGATCGACTTGCTTCTCGCCAGGCGACATGTTGGCTGTGACAGCCACAAACTCACTGGTCGCCAAGGTGGCAACCTTAATCCCACACACACAAATTGTGTATGTTATCTTGACATAATGTCGCTTAGGGCAAACAACTTTTATAGTGTGGCAGAGTGTCAAAGCTTCAAGTTCAGACGCGCCGTAATGACCGTTCTGGGTGCCGCAAGAAAATAACAATACAAAATCTGTACTAAATCAAAGGAACTGTGTGGCAGAATCTCTTGAAGGCACCTCCGGCAAACTCTGGTGCTTAGCGGCCCTGCATGCAGCAGGTGGTCAATGCCGATGGGGTTGCGTCAGAGATCCGGCTTCTGGGCCGCCCGCCCGACGCTTGGCGAATGCGTGCGTCCAGCGCCCGTTTCCGTGAGGTTCCTCGGACCCGGAAGGAACCCAACAGGATGGCACCATGTAACATGTACAGGGCACAACGTGAGGCGAGAGGGCGCCGGGAAAACATGGAAGAAGAAGCAACCGCTCATTCACGCAAGAACATAGAATTCAGCACTGCCTAGTCTGCCTAGTGTCCGCCCTGTGCGTGTACATCTGTCTCATGGCAGCTGCAAGATGCAACCCACGACTCCACAGTTTCGATGGATCCGACCACGATCAGAAGGAAGTCCTATGTTGAGCTTTGGGTATGCGTGTGCGTCACAGCATGCTACCCCAACCAAAGGCCGGTTCACACTTGACGGTGAATGTAAAACTGAAAAGGATACTGAGTCACACTCAAATTCTAAGTCGGGTGTCCAAATAGCTCCAGAAGAATGGGTCTCCAACTGCGTCATTGAAACGCTGCAACGCCTTTCGTGCTTCAGGATCAGCACTCATGCGCGGGCCCTTGCCCCTGTTTCGACGTTGCTGGGCTTGTTGTGCTGATTCGTCCGGCTCTTCGGATGCGAGATACCGTTCAAGTGACCAGTGGCATTGAAGAGCCCCTCGTCGTCTTGACAAGGCCCGGAGACAGTCAATTAGGCTCCCCCACCGCCACATGATGAGATTTCCCCCCTCCCATGACTTGAATAATTCTGCAAACTCTGTGTCATCGAAAATCATGGTAGACAAGCGGTCTCGATAATGTGGCTGATGCAGCATGTCCTAATCAAATTGCGGGGGGTGGGGAAGGAAATATCAAGCTGCACCCAGCGAATCCAACATGTTCAAAAGTCACAAAGCAAATCTCAAACAAATGATGACAATCGTTGAGCAATCATCGACCATACTCAACCGAGTGGCTACGCATGCCTTGAGCGACTGCTGAAAGTTTGCGAAGTGCTTCAAGCGCTCTAATATGTCTCCAGTTATATTGTGGAGCATGTGCTTCGGCCCCGGCACCCAGAGCGCATTGCGGATTGAAAAAAGACGGGATGGTGAGGGGACCGCAATCTCTTCGCCACCTCCAACTCCCCTCGCCCCATCGTCTGCAAACTTCAGCAGTCCTTTCGAATTGCCCACGATGTCATTGACCATCTTCGTCACATCCACTGGTGGGATCTCGGCGCGGGGCACTTGAAAACAGTGAGAACTGAGAAGCGTGAGCGCCAGCGGAGTGTCCGTAATTGACAGCAGCTGAACAAACATGCCAGACAACCCAAATGGGTATTATGTGCCACATGCATCGTGTGTGTGCCAAAGTTTTTCAAGTTCTACACTTTCTACACGGTTGTATTCTGGCCCCGGAAGCAGCAAACAAATACATCTAGAAAGCCCGCTCAACTCATGCTACGGCGCCTCCATGAATTTGGCCTCCGTTCCATAGTCGCCTACAAAGCTGATCACGCTGTCTCCATACCGCTTCATTTGTCTCCTGAACATCTACCTTGTTGGCGATACGTTGCGAATAAATCAAAGAGCTCACTGCAGATCAGAACGTAAATGCCTTATCGGCAGTCATGATCAAACATACCACCCAGCTCCAGCCACAGCCTTCCAGTCATTTCATCATACCCTACATACCCTGACGCCCGGGTAATTTGATCATGATCAACAGGAAACAAAGATGCTGGTCGTTCTTGTGGTTGGCACCACTCGATCCCCAGTTTAAGCTGCTAAGTATCCATCAGCGGTTTATCATAAGTTTATACGAGCCATTAATATAATTGTGCGCCTTTCATCATACGTTTGGAGGGTTGTGGTCTCATGAAACAGCTACGAACATCCATATCTCATTTGTCATCAAAAGTGTTCAAATGACTACCAGAGACAAGGTTAATGTTAAACAAAATGTTATAGTAACAGTACAAATTACACCATGAGGCGAATGGTATCGAGCGAAATGCTAAAGCGGTTAGATCCACAGTACCCAATTGACTCCAATTAATTAACTACCGCACGATACGAGTCGAGTCAAAAGTCATGGCAAAGTTAAATTGACAGTCAAACATCAAAATGAATGTCAAACATCAAAATGAAAACGAAACATCAGTGCCGCCGTGCTGATCAAGAAAGGCACCAAGTGAGCTCGACCACGAGGAATTGCATCCTCCAAAGTCATCTGGAAGTCAGTGCCACCCTG